GAGCCATCTGTAAGCAGGAAAAGGAGGTGGCTGAGCCCCAGAGTTAAGGCTGAGCAGCGCTCACCGAGAGCTGCCGACCTTCTATTTTTATGTTGGAGGTGTGGGGTTTTCCCCCTGCCTCACCAGCCCCTGTGACCCTGTACAGGGCTCTGGCTGGCTCCTGGTGCCACGTGGGGGACATCCCAGCCGGAATTCTGTTACATCCCCCCTGACAAGCAATTTTAGTCCATTTTTAAATAGAAGGTAAGCTAAGGAGAAGCCAGGTAATGTTATGGCAGTTTCGGATTCCCGCAGGGCCCAGATGTTCGTGTCCTTAGAATGCTTTAGGATCTCTGACAGGCTCAGACCATAAAAAAAATGCATAAAAAAATTCCAAATAATGTGTATCTTGCCATCCAAGTCAGTAATTGATCATACAAGTGACTCAGAAATAAACCAATCTGGAAAAACATAGCTAATTGTGTGCCAAGTACTGACACAGTTTATACTGCTTTCTTCTAAAGAAACCCAAAATACCTAAAGATCTATTTAAAAACAAGCCAGATAGTTAAAGTAACAAGAGAAATCAGTCAGTCAGTGGGGATTTTTGAAGAGGAAACTGGTATGCAGCTCCCCCACTGGGACCTGCCTGATGAAAGAATGGGTGTATCACCTTTTGTGTCAGAAATTAAAAAGCCAACCTAAAGCTTCCTGAAACAGGGACAGTGTTGGGTTGTTGCTGCCATCCAGAGCAGATGAACTGCTGTGTTCCTGGTAAAGAGGTCAGCCCAAAGCACAATCAATTAAAAGCCCTGTGCCGTAATGACATGGAGAGAAGCAATTTCAAAGACTCAGGGTAGAGCAAAACTCTGGAAAAATCTAATTCAAAGCTGAACCACAGGAAACAGCTGGAGGTTTGCCATGCTCAGCTCTTGCAAGAGCTGAAATGCTGTGTTGGTGCTGCCCCAAACATATCCTTCCTTTTCCAGGGAGCAGGACCAGGGCACTTGATTGTCCCCCTGTGCTGGCACCGCTGAGGGACCCCCAGGGCTGTGCCCAGTTCTGGGCCCTCAACAGGAGGGACCCGGAGGGGCTGGAGCGTGTGCAGGGAAGGGAACGGAGCTGGGGAAGGGGCTGGAGCAGCAGGAGGGGCTGAGGGAGCTGGGGGGGGCTCAGCCTGGAGAAAAGGAGGCTCAGGGGGGACCTTCTGGCTCTGCAACTCCCTGACAGGAGGGGGGAGCCGGGGGGGGCAGGGTTGGGCTCTGCTCCCAGGGAACAAGGGACAGGAAGAGAGGGAACAGCCTCCAGCTGTGCCAGGAGAGGGTCAGGTTGGACATCAGGAGGAATTTCTTGCTGGAAAGGGTGGTCAGGCCTTGGCAGGGGCTGCCCAGGTTGGTTTTGGTGGTAGAGTCCCCATCCCTGGAGGTGTCCAAGGCAGGGCTGGATGTGGCACTCAGTGCTCCAGTCCAATTGTAAGGTGGTGATCAGTCACAAGTTGAACTCCATGATGTCAAAGGCCTTTTCCAGCCTTACAGTTCCATGATTCTCTCCTCTGACCCTGTCTGTCCTGCCAAGTGGCTCTCGGGAGGAACAGCTGCCTGTCTATTTGGTAACACAAAGTGCTTCATTACTTTAATTTGTTTTGAGGGCTCCTTAAGTTCTGTGAGCAAGCCTTTAGTCATAATTACTTCAATAGCCTGGCATATGGGCTCTAATGTGTAATAAAAACAGCCCTTAAACGGCAGAGCCATCAACTCCCAGCTGCCCTGCGCTGCCACGGGGACACTCCAGGCTCAATCCCTGCCATCCCAATGGATTTCGGGTTCACACAGACAAGTTCTCCGTGGTGACACGGGAAGTTCGAGGGGAACAGAGAGACAGACAGACAGACCCTGGTTTAACCCTATCATCTGGAGGACCTGCCCTTCCTCCCTCACCCAGAGCAGCTGCGGCGTGCCCAGCTCCTCCTTCCACAATCCCGATGGAGGAAAGGGCTCGGGCACCCAGACAACAAGCTAGCAGGGATACAAGCTGCCTCCTGTACTAGCCCAGTCAAATCCAACCCCGAGCAAGAAAAATACTCCTGCCTCAGCTATCCTCACCGTAATCCCTGCCTGACATCAAAGGATTAGCTAACAATGAGCAATTAACACCGTCATGTTCCCTTTCAGTAGATCCCTTCCTCGTCTGAAGTGCTGTCATGGAGCTAAAAAACAGGTGACTGCCAGAAAAATCACTTCCTCATGAACAACTGGTGGGAAAGGCGGGGCTGCTCGGGACCCTGGTGTTTCCTGTCCCCCCTCCAGCTTTTGCCAGCCAAAGTCCAAAAAGGCAAGCTCAACAACTTGGGAGGGGCAGGAGCAATCACCTTCCAGCATCTCCCCAGCTCCTTTGGGGTAAGTGAAGAGGGCTTTCCGAGGCGGTGCCAGGTCCGAAACGCTGAACCCCGACCCTGTCACGGAGCTGCCGCTGACTCCGCCGGCCGAAGAGGAGGAGGAGGAGGCTGCCATTTCACCCCGTCCCAGCCTGCAAGAACAAAGAGGCGGCAGAGCCGAGTTAGGAAGGGCGTCTCGGAGTTTCCCAGGGCGCGGAGCCAGCGGCTGTGTGCGCCTCTGAGGTCGGATGAAGGTGGTGAGGGGCAGGAAGATGCCGCCTCTGCTGCCTCAGAGCTTCAAGGCTGCCCTGTGTGTGCGTGGGAGAGCTGCCTGCACCCTGCTGCCTGTGGGGGACGGGCACAGAGAGACCCCGAAACAGCGGGTAAACCCTGCTCCAATCCCTCGGACACGGGACTCTGGGAACTTGTCCAGATGACCGGAGTGTGCACAAAAATAACCTGAATTCACTGGCCTTTAGCTGCCCTGGCACTTATCCCACTCCCCTGGGCCATAAAAAGGCTTTTTTCTTTTACTTTTTTTTTTTTTTTTGCCTTGTTTCCAGGAGCACAAACACAGAAAAAGTCCTGCTGCCTCATAAAACCTGGAAGGCTGCAGGACTGCCAGTTCCAGGGCTGCATCCTGCACAAAGACACACTGTGCTTAACTTGCAGCAGCTGCTTTCTGCATCATTCCAGATGTGCTTTTGCCTTTAAAACACTGTATTTGACCTAAACTGGCAATGCCTGAGGATCCATCTGCCTGTGCAGTACAAGCCTAGTCACCTCTTGCACATCCTTTTCCCATCCTTGTTTTAATTTAAGAGGTACTAGGTGTATGTTTGTCATTACAGAGTTCTTAAAACTCATCGTGTACCTCTCTGATAGTAAAATAGGTGGCACTTGGCACTTATCAGTGACAGCACTTGCTGCTCCCCCAAACACTTATAAGCACTTCCCCATTACCGTGCCCATTTAATTCATTTTTGTTATCCTATTTAGTACATTTCGGCAGGCTCTGTAGGGTACACAGAAAGTGCCTTTGGGAAGCACTCAAGGATTTTGTGGAGAAAATGGGCTTTTAAGAGGCTGTCACAACTAGGAATTGTGTTCTGTCACAGTTAATCATGGAATCCTGGAATAGTATGGGGTTGGAAGGGACCTTAAAGGCCATGCAGTTCCAACCGTGGACACCTTCCACTAGCTCAGGTGGGTCCAGCCTGGCCTTGGATACTTCCAGGGATCCAGAGGCAGCTTCTCCGGGCACCCTGTGCCAGGGCCTGCCCACCCTCACAGGGAATAATTTATTCCCAGTGTAACCCTGCCCTCTGTCAGTGTGAAGCCGTTCCCCCTTGTCCCGGCACTCCTTATAAACACTCTCTCCAGGAGAGCCCAGGGCTGTTTCGCTCCCTGCGTGTCACACAGAACAACACAGTGGCTCACGGGAAGCCGGGGGCTTAGGGGCCGTGAAAGGAAAACGCCTGGAAGAAATAAACTTTTATCGTGGCTACGCCACATCCAGCAACACCTTCCTCAGCTCCCCGCTCGCGAGGGTGGCGAGATGACGGTTTGCGCTGAAACCACGGCGACCGGGGGGGGGGGCTCGCAGACCCGACAGATTCCTATAGGCGTAGCTGCGGGGGGGGTGGTGTTATTTTAAACGATCACAGGAGAGAGGAAGCAGCAGGTCGGGGCGATGCCGATGCGCGTACACAAACCAGCGCCCTCAGGCGCTTGAGGCGCCGCCATCTTGACGGGGCGGCGGGGCCGCTCCCTCAGACCACGCCCCCTCCCGAGCACGCCCCCAAACGGCCCCGCCCCTCCGAAGGCCGCGTGCCGCTCCCTCCCCCCCGGCCCACGGTGAGTGCGGAGCCCCCCGCCAGGCGCCGCCGCCTCTCACCCTCCCCGCTTCCTCCCGCTCGCCCCGGCGCCCTCCGCCTCCCGGGCCGCCCCCTCCCGCCGCTCCCGGGTGCCCCTCCCGGGCCCTCTCTCTCCGTTACCTGGGTGCCCGGGCGGCGGCCGAGCGCGGGCGGCGCGCGTGGCCGCGCTCGCGGTGCATGATGGGGCGGGCGCGCGCCACTTCCGCCGGGGTGCGGGAGGGAGGGGAGGGAGAGGAGCGGGGGCGATAAAGTGGTGGCGGTGGCTGCGGGGACAGGGGTGTTCTTCTCTTCCTACTGCCTTCCCACAGGGGTTCAGGCGTAAAGCCGAGGGGTTCTGCCGCTCCTCTGCCCTCGGCGCCCCGGGGGTTTGCGCGGTGCGGGCCGTGGCGGGGCCGCTGTGCCCCTGCCGACCTCCCCTTAGCCCCTCTGGATCGTGCCCTCAGAAGCCAGATCCTGTCCCTGAGCCTGCTCTCGGGAGTCTAATCCTGTCCCTAAACCTGCCCTCAGGAGCCTCGTTCTCCCCAGAGGCTGCCTCCCCGTCTGCCTTGTGCCTCCCGACCTCATCCATGGCTGGCTGGCTTTCAGAAGCCCCGTGTCAAGAAACTGACGCCAATGTGTGTTTAAAAACGTGAACCAAAAAAAAAAACCCCAAAACAAACCAAACCCAGCCGCAGTGTGATTTCTTTTCGTGGCTTATTCTGTGCGCAGTTCACCTCTGCACTTCTTTGCTTGAGCTACGGGAATTACTACTTTTTTTAAAAGTGTCAGTTTTTTATTTTCAGTGTAAGTTTTGGATGGTTGTGAGTAATTTCAGGAGGTGGGGCTTGAACTGAGGGGAAAAGCATTAACCTTCTGAACCTGATGTCACTGTATAATAAATCTAGTTTAGAATAAATGCACCTTCAAAGGCACACTGTTGTGTTGCAGTGGACAGGTGAACCTTCTGTAGAAATTCACAGAGGTGAATTTTTGGGTGGGGGCTTTGTTTTTTTTTTTAAGTAACAGAGATTTCTGTTTTAAAATCAAGGCAAACTGAGGCATTAATAAATTACATTTTATATTAATTGTTAATTTCATTAATATTAAACCATTTCAGTAAACATAGAATTTCAAGTAAAGATTAAGACAGGTCACTGACAGTTCTTTGCTTTTGCACCATTAAATGTTCTCTGTGGTAAAAAGTTTAAATTGTTTATTGAGAAGAAATTCTCCCCTGGGAGGGTGGGGAGGCCCTGGCACAGGTTGCCCAGAAAAGCTGCGTCTGCCCCTGGATCCCTGGAAGTGTCCAAGGCCAGATTGGACGGGGCTTGGAGCAACCTGGGCTGGTGGGAGGTGTCCCTGCCCACGGCAGGGAGGTAGAACTGGATAGAATTTACCTTCCCTTGACCTAAGCTGCAAAGGTGTCTCTGTTTTCGCAGCAGGAGGACGAGCAGGATGGATGTTCTGAGGCCCACCCTGGTGAGGATTGGGGGACGAGTGTACCGGAAGAATCTCATCCAGGAGCAGCCCTTCCCGCAGGAGGAGGAGCAGGATTTCTGTGCAGGTGAGGAGTGATGCTCAAGAGGTGAAAGCATCAACCCTGGGGACCCAGGGCAACAAAAACCTGCCCTTGTGGTGAAGTCGAGTGTTAAGAGGGAGAAAACTTCTCTGTTTGATGATCCTGCTGCATGAAGAGTGGGAGTAATCCCAGCTACCTCGCCCCCAAGTGGGTTTGGCTGCTGTGCTGCTGAGGGTCAGTTTGCTTGCTGAGTGTGAAAGATCTCCCAGAAAGGGGAAAAACAAATTAGCTCTATACATTTGTTTTTCCCAGGTTCCTGAAGTGCCTTTCTTTTCTGGAGTGTGATTATTTGCAGCTATGGCAGCAGAAGAAGCTGCTAAAGACCTTCTGTCCTTGCAATGTTTATGCCTTTAAAAACTGACCTCCTATGATGCAGCTTTTTACCTGTTTGGGGGGGAAAAATTCTTCTTGTCATGGTGTATTTTACCTTTCTGCCTGTGTGTTTGTGGTAGCTGTATGTGAGTTGTTGTGGGCACAGAAAAGCTCCAGTGTTATTTCTCAGGTGAGAAGGGCTGTGGCTGTTGTGTCCTTTTTCTGCCCTCACCTTGCCTTTCAGTGGATTGAACAAAGCTTTAACGTTCTCTGTAGTTCCCCTCACAGAATTCCTATTCCCCTGAGGGTTTCTATTCTATCTTCACCGAACCCTTGGGCCAAAACTACCCTCACCTTTTATTCGTGTTCTTCTGCGGCTTTAAATTTCCAAATGAGCTGGTGGCTTCCACCCTGCCGGGAGAAGAGACCATTCCCACTGCGTGGGAATTGCAGAAATTCCAGCTGAGAGCAAACCTGGGCTGTAACTGCCTCTTTCCTGCGCCTCCCAGCCCACCGGATTTAGAAGCAGTCATTATGTTTTCCGGAGCCGGTGGCAAGGTGATAAATAAAAAGCAGTTATCCTCAGCGGAGAGGAGCCCGTTCCTTCCTTCATCTGACCTTGGCAGAAGGCTGGGAGGAGACTGCTGTCCTACATAAAGTGCTGCCCAACTTTACAGAGGTTTGTACGAGGACTGTTGTGGTTTCCCCCGGTAGGCCCCGGTGACTGCGCGGACGACGATCCCTGCGACGCCTTCGTGGTGGAGGAGACGGAGCGAGGCTTCCAGAGCCGGGTGGAGGTTCCCAGCCCCTTGTACAAGTGAGCCTCTGTGCCTGTGGGGTTTGTTTGAGTTGCTGCCAGCTGAGGAAGCAGTTGAGCACGGAATATTTGTTTTCCTTTTGAGGTTGGGGTGAGCGCCGGATCTCCCAAATGTGTTCTGGGCTGTGGATTTGAGCGCTCGGGAAAGGGAAAATTGGCACTGCCTTCCCAGTGTGGTTGTTCCCTGCTCGACTCCTCGCCGTCCCCATGGCAGGGACAGCAGGTGGTGCTTGCTGGCTGGCAGGAGAGTGTTTGAGCATCTCTTCCCTTGAACATAAAAGCATCAGGGTGGGTGGGAGAAGGAAGGGGAGGAAGAACTGGGGCGAGCAGCCTGGCAGGGGGAAGTTTGTGAAAGCTTTCAGAGCAAGCACACACGACTGGAATTGGCTATTGACTCCAGTCCAGTGTTTGCTGGGAAGCCTGTAGTGCTCAAAGCTCTGTCTAGTTGTTTCTGACAGTTTTATTAGTTGGATAGTTTCGCTGAAATGTAGAGAAGGAAAAGTGGTCCGTGGTGTATTTGGATGCTGGCAAACGACTACCTTGAGCAAAGCAAAAAGCAGAAAAAGAGCCCTTAGTTCTTCCTCAGCTGGGATAATGGGAAAAAGGGATAACCCAGCTGACAATAAGCTGTGGCAGGATGTGCTGGGCAGAACTGTCATGAACCAGCTGACTCATTTTAACTTAAACCAGTTGTGAGCCACAGCTCAACATCATCCCATGGTCCCGGGCTGGGCACATGTGGAATCCCGGGAATCACCTCCCTGCCTGGATGGGGTCTGGCTGTGTGTGTGTGTCCCTCCAGCACAGAGGGACCGAGTCTGGGGGTCCCCAGGTGCCTGGGCCAGCTCAGAGCCTGGGCCATCTCCTGGCTGAACACACTTGGTGGAGAGTGGCCCAGCACGACTTTGTGAGTGAAGCTCTTGCCTTTTATGCCTCCAGGTATATCATTGGGAAGAAAGGGGAAACCAAGAAGAGGCTGGAAACAGAGACTCGAACCTCCATCAGCATTCCCAAGCCTGGAGTGGAAGGAGAAATTGGTGAGTTGAACATGCACAAAATGGATGTGCTTTTTACTGGCTGTTGCAAAAACACAGTTTAAGCTGGGAGGGGGAACAAGAGGTGTTTTCCCTTTAATTCCTACTTCTGACACAGCACTGACTCATTTTATGGCCCTGGGAAAATCACTTCACTTTTCTTCTGCTTTTATTTTTTAATGTCTATAAATCCTTACAAAGCAGTGTAAGGTTTTTTTGGAAAAAAAAAAAAACAAAACCTGTTTTAATTCGATGAATAGTTTCACTATTCTGGCCTTAAACGACAGGCTTTCAGGGAACTTTGACCCTCTTTGGTTTTGTTTTTGAAACAGTACCTTTTCCCTTAAAAAGGAACTGAATTAAACATTCAGAGAAAGTCACGCTGTGTGTTTCTGCACGAAACAAACATCAGCATGTGCTTTAACGTGAGAAGTGTTTAGACGGCACGTCCCGGTGCTGTCACTCGATCCCGACAGTGAGAGCAGCCTCTCTTGTACCATATGTTCCTTCTCATCACTTCCAGGGACTTAAAAAAAGAAAGGAGATGTTCCTCATCAGGGCTGACCTGTGCAGGACCTGCCAGAGTGGATATTTGGAGGGCTCCTTAGGGCACGCTCCAGGGATTATTGGCACGGGGTGCACTTATGCTTGTGACAGAGCTGTGAGGAGGAAGTGCTGGGGGGGAATCCCACTGTGATGCTGCACGGGGAATGTGGTGGTACTTCTCAAGAAGTGAGTCTTGACTTCTTCCCAAGGACTGTGAAGGACTATTAAGAAGGCTGAGAGATGTTAAAAACACGTAATCATAGGAAGCCGAGAAAATTTTGCTCCTTGTGGTTCTTTCCTTTCAAGCTCAAGTGTTCTCTGTTTGGTGCCTTTAAGTGCATGAACAAACGATAGCGGGCCATCTTGATCCTTGATAGATTTTCTTTGCTTCTTCACTCTGACTGCCTTTATGAAAACTTGAAATAGTGCTCTAGAAATCTGAAGGGGTGCTGAATTGATGGACTCTCAGTTATTGTTTTTTAGACACTCGGAGCTGACTTTCTTGAGAGCAGAGGGATACTTTTGATGGCATCACCCTGTCTTTGCAGAGGAAAACATGGCCGTGTCAGGAATTTTAAGTCAAGCAGGGAGTCTGGCAGGATTTCTCAGTGCGTGGTTGGGGGTTTTGATTCCTACTGCTTCCTCTGGAGCCTGGGGCTGACAGCAGAGAGGTGCTGGCCTGCAGGTTTTTACAATTCCCTCCTGGCATCTCCCAGATGAAACGTTCACAAAATCCTCCAGTATTGATATTTTAAAGTGCACGGACAAGTATTGGTGTAAGACCACGATCCATTTAAGGACCCCTTATTTAGCTTCCTGGAAGGCAGACAAGTTTCCTGCTTTGCTTCCTTGCAGTGATCATCGGGCAGCACCGGAGCGGTGTCGTCTCCGCCCGGACACGGATCGATGTGCTCCTGGACAGCTTCCGTAAGAAGCAGCCCTTCACACACTTCCTGTCCTTTGCTCTCAACCAGCCTGCCATCCAGGAGAGGTTCCTGCAGTTCAAGGAGGAGGTGTTGGAGAAATGCTCACAGGTAAGGATCCACATGGGAATTAAAATGCAGAGTGCTGCTTCATTTGTTGAGAGAGCTCTTTGAAGGCCTTGTTCTATTCTGTTTCCTAGGAATGCATTTTTAACAAGCCTTTTACTTAAGTTGGTGGGTCTGCTGTGAATTTGTTGAGTGCTGTTGTGAAATCTTCTGAAAGGTGGAATGACTGACTTAGTGAATTGTTAGTTACAATATTTGGTCTCCTTAGAGGCTTCCATAGATAGGAGGATATCTAAGAATCAGAAGTGGATTGGGGTTTTTTAGTAGGAAAACCACTAAATAATATAATGGAGCTTTCTACATTTTATATGATTCCTACCTAACCATGAAATCAGGTAGGAATTCATGAATTTGCTGCTGCTTCTGTTTCATTTTCCTTTGGCTCCCGGCAGCGAAGGAAGATGGGTGTCATTGCCAGAGCTCGAGCGAGAAATGACTTGGTAGCACATGCCATCCTGCAAATCTCATCACTTCCCTTCTTCCCCAGGAGACTTTGTGCTGACAGTCCCTCCTACTTGCCTTCAGATCTTGCATTGGGAGCAGCAGGGAATGGTTAGGCACAGGGAAATGAGGAAGGGAATGGAAGAGAGGCTCTGTATTCCCTGGTTTATTTTAGTGTGCGTCTAGTTTGACAAGAGTGGTGTGTCAGTGGGCTGGGCCAAGGAGAGGGAATGGTGTTATTCAGCTGCTGTGTCCTCTGAGTGTGCTGGAGGACATCTCTGGGCAGGAGAGAAGAGTTCTCTTTGTGGCTGCTGCAGGTTGTGCTGCACACACACTGCGGGGCTCCGTGGGCTGATAATCTTACCTTCGTGACCCTCACTCCTGCTTGTGGCTTGCAGAGGGGAAAACACAGTCGTGCAGACAGCATAGCTTCAGATGTTTAGTTTCCTATGTCTTCGTGCTGTGGGTGTGAATTATCTGATATCTGGCAAGATAGGAACTCTTGCTCAAGTTCTTGAGGTCACTTGCATGTCAGTTGTCTCATCTCCAAGAGCTGACCTGAACTGGCTCTCCAGTCTTGTCTTGCCTGGCAGTTCAGATTCAAGCCCTTCTTCTCCCCCCAGCTGCATATTTCCATGACATTTTAGGAGCTTCCTATCACTGGGATTTCCAGCTGGTGTTAAATACAACTGTAATTGGCCAGCAGATCCCGGGATTAGCCCGTGTGATGCCATGAGAACCCTTTCCTCGGGCCAGGATGATCATCTCTCCCCATTAGCCGGCAGCACTACCTCTATTAAAGCTCACCTTGACCCAAGGGAAGCCCTGCAGGCAGGGGGATGGAAACATCAGCCTGAGGAGGTGTTGGCTGGACAGAGAGTGCTGGACCTCGGGCTGGTGTCAGTGGTGGCCTGGCTCCCTCTGTTGGTTTCTATCCCAGGGCCAGCCCTTGTCCCTGCAGAGAGCTCCTTTTTGCTGCCTCCTGCTTGGGGTGCATCTCCTCAGCCCTCCCTTGGCCCAGCCTTGGCTCTCCAAACCCCTCCTGATCTTGTCTCTGTCACATTGTTCCTCTTTTTCTCACTCTTAAATGTCAGTTTGGGTGCCTGGGGAGACTGGGAGGTCTGCCATCCCCTTCGAAACATGTTCACAAATGTATCTTTGTGCTATCCTCGGTGTTGCCGCATTCAAAAGGAGCTGCCCGGGAACATCTGCAAACCTTCATGTACTCCTTGTCCCAGAAAGCTGCAGCAAGCCAGCCTTGGGCAGAGAAGTGCTGAGACCAGGCTGGTCATGTTCACTTTATCTCCTCTTGCCTGACCTTCTGCAGTTTTTGTTCCGTGCCTGGACAGCTCTGAGTCTCTCTCGTAAGGGCCTGAAATCAACTCTAGAGTTCCTGTTTCTGGTTTGAAATGCAGGACTCGGTCAGTAACAGGTACCTGGGGGGGTTGCATATGTGTAGCCTAGGAATATATAGTGCTTTATTTCTCTGCCCTTCCCTCTCCTGGTATTAGCAAAAGGGTTTCTGGATGTATTTATTGCTGCCTGTTAGCTGGAGGAGTGCAGTGCAGCCCCGTCCGTCTCTCAATCACTCCACTAGCCGGTAATGCCACTCTAATACCACTTTATCTCACAGCAGGGTCTGCTGGAAAGCACATCAGTAATGAAAAACAGTAATTCAAAACAGTGCCTTGCAGAGCAATAAGAGAGCTTATAGATTTGTCCAAAGCAACGGGATTTCTCAGGATACTCAGAGAAATCTGAATAGGTTTCAGTGGCAGGAGTGGGGCGTTTCTGTTCCTGGTGCAAAACATTGCAGAACTGGGTAAACTCCAGGCTTTGAATGAAGGGGGTAATAACAGTAAGAAAGAGTAAGGACCAGGACTGTGTGTGTGTGTGTGTGAGCGAGGATTTCTTCTGGCCATTGAGCATTTGTGAGGGACTCTGTTTCTCTCTGAAGCAGTTACCATGACAACCATTCATTTATATTTCACAGCATTATGTCGGTGGGTATGTGCTTTGTGAGTTTGTATGTGTCTTTAAAACCTTTTAGAAGATAAACCTGGTGTTGGAACACAGCACACTTCAGGTGTTGTTCCTGCTGTACAGTCAGGGCTGCTGAGCAGAGCTGAGGGGAGGCTCCTTGGAGGTTAATTTAATGTAAACACGGGGAGGTGGCTCACCTGGACAGGCTCCTCACTGATGTGCTGCAGTGGGAGGTCCAGATGACTGGATGACCTTGGAGGTCTCCTCACACAGTTGTGTGGGTGTCAGGGTGAGCAGAACTGAAATGTCTTTCTGAGCATGCAGGTGGAAAAGGGAAGAGACTCTACAGTAATATTGCTGTGAGAAGTCACAGTTGGGTCTTGGAGAGCTGTGCAAACGCCGTTTCTGCAGGCTGAACAGGCTGCAAATGTAGCAGGGAGAAGCAACATGATTGCTATAATGTGTGGCAACCTGTAAATATCAACCAGCTAATGAGATATTGTATCTCAGAGTGGAAGGGACAGAGAATGGGAGGGGTTTTGGAGCCTGCAGATCTTCAGTCAGTCCTGAGGAAATGCTGTTTTCCTGGCTCACTCCTTTGTTTGGGGATGGGGATGGCAGGGGGCATATAGCTGGCATGCAGTATGCTCTTATTAGGGGAAAAAAGAACCCCCAAACATAAATCTGTCTGCAAACATGTGAAGCTTTTAAGTCAGTAGAGAGGATGCAGCCAGGGAGGAAGAGCTAAGGAGTTGATCCTCTGCCTTGTCATGTAGAAGGCCTGAAGTGTGCTGTGGTTTATGGTTTCCCTGCTAAAGAGTCAGAGATCTGAAAGAACAACTTTTGCAAGGAGAGGTGAAGACTCCAAATGAAACCCTTTCTCCTTCTTCTAAAGGAAGAGGGCAAAGGGAGTCTTAATTAGCAGGAGGGAGGAAAAATGTCATTTTTTTCAGTCTGAGTGGAAATGAGATGAGGTTTTTTGGACCATGTCAGGGCAGTGCCAGGGAGAGGCATAAGCTAAAATGGACAGTCATCACATAGGGATGGGGCATAAAGGGATTGTTCTTCCTGCCTTAGGGAACCCAAGTTTGAACAGTAAATTTTTAGAGACATTTCTAGGGCTTCCTGTGAGGCAACACAGTGGTTGCTGATGGCCTATCATAGTCTGGGACTGGAATAAGTGGGTTCCAGCCTTTTTGCATCCCAGGAAGCAGTATCCAGCCATGAAGGGCTGCCGAGACACCCGTGGGAACGTTGCCTGTTCCAGGGAGAGCTCCCTCTGACGCAGCATCTCTTTTTTTATGTGTGGGAGAAGTGGGATCTGCCGGCCTGTGAAAGAGTAGGGAGTGTAAGCAGGGTTTTGAGGAGCTGCCTGAAATGCTAGGGAGTGAAGCAGGGAGATTATCTAGGTCTTGTCCTGCTCTCTGTGCACTGCTCTGCCCCGCTAAGCCCCCCGTGGCTCGCGGACGTGACGTGCCATCGCTTTGTCAGCTCTCAGCCCACACTCAGGGGTTGGAAAGCTCAGGGGGAAAAGGCAGCTTTTTGGGGCAGGTTGGTGTTTACAGCACAAATCGTGCTGTGGCAGAAAAGGAGGCTTTGGCTCTCTGACCTGCAGACTGCTTTGCTGCTGTACCTCATCTGTGTGCTCTGTGGGAGTTACACCGGCTGGTTGTCCGTGGTGAGGATAAATCAGACCTTCTCCCAGTTTCTGCTGGTTTATGATGAGCCAGATATTCTCTGGCTATGGATCTCGTTGGGGAAAAAAGGCTGACAGAGAGAAAGCATGTCCTGTCACGCATGCTGGCAGCAGGATGAGTTAAAGGAAGCTGCAAGGTTTTTACTGCAGGGAGGGGAAGGTGGGGAGAAGCGAGATGGGACCATACCTGTTTTTCACCAGCCTGTGGCTGCTGGAGCAAGCCCCTGGCCTCTGTGTTGCAGCCTGGCTTGTCTCTAGTCCAGCCCATAAGCTCTGCTGTAAAGAAGGGTCTGGATGTGGTCATTAGGCATGAAAAATGCTGAGTGAGATGTGGGGCATTGAACTCTTGATGGGCTGAGATACTGCAGTGTTTAAACATCTGAAAGGTTTCATTTCAAAGTGTGGAGCACAGCTAGAAGCTTCAAAGCTGTCATTCTCAGTCAGTGGACTCTTTGCAGACGGAGAAAAGCTTCCATGGCCTGGCGGGTTGGCTTCTTCTGGAGTTAAAATTGGAGGTTATTTAATGCGCTGATGGGAAACGGCCACAAAGTGGAAATAATTGTTTTAATATGGGTGTGTTAACCATCCTCAAGGAATTTTTAAAAGTATCTTAGAACAAAAGAGCATGTTTCTTAAAGCTGAATGTAACCACTGCTCCACCTGGGAACAGTTCTTCCCCAGCAACAATATGCAGCTCTTCTTATAAAGGGAATTTAAACTTAATTCATCTCGGCAAACTATAGGGCACATGGGAAGAAGAAAAATGTAATTATCAGAGCTGGTATTAGCTGCGCTTGTGTTGTGAGGTGCAACCTGTGTTTAGACAGGATTTAGAGACCATTTAGAGCTTGTCACTACAGCTGGTTCCAGCGTTATTGCACAAGAAATTGGACTTGGGTATTAAATCTGTGCTGGCTTGCGTTGAGTGCATTGCTGGTGGCAGCTGCCGCTTCGACATCTGGGGAAGTCTCCTCCCGGAACCCCGTGAGTGCTGCTGGTCCTGGGTCCCAAATTGCAGCCTGTTGGAATGTGCTGTTCAGCAGGAAAGGCAGGCAGGGAGCTATGGGACTGTGCCTCTCCTGCCAGGCTGAGCTCGCTTTCTCGCAAAGCCTGGGAAATTTTGTTTCTCAACTTCGAGTCATTACCAACCCAACCAGAGATAAAAGTACCGATGTCAGGGGCTTGGTACCCGTTCTGTGTAGTATTTATCCCTCTGGTGGAGGGGGGAGGTGGGGTGTGGATGAGGTAAGACACACCTATATGTGATGGATTGACTGATTTGTAGGATCACGGGGTCAGCAGCAGCCTGTTCCAGAACCCTGCAAAGCTTCACCTGACTCTGGGGACGCTGGTGCTCCTGAACGAACAAGAGATCCGGAAAGCGTGTGACCTCCTACAGCAATGCAAAGAGGACTTTGTGGAGTAAGTGGTGGAAAAGGGATGTCATCACCACCAAGGGTCGAGTGGGGGGGAAAGCAGCACGCTGTCTTTGACAAGGGGCGGCGATGAGAAAAGCAGCTCAGTCGTCTCTCTTAGCTCTAGAAATTTAGGAAGAGGCTGAAACCTTTCAAATGGGAGCGGTAGGAATCACCAAGCAGCCACAAAGAGCCTAAGAGCACCTGGCAGCTCAGCTCAGACCCTCAGCACTGCCTGAGAACCTGCTCTGCTCGTTTCTGTTTGCCACGTGCGCCCCCGTTGTTTTTTTGCCGCTGCCCCCCCTGTTCCTGCTGCAGGGGGAGGGCCCAACTCCCTCACCTGTGCACGTGTCCTGCAGTGGGCTCTGGCACGGAGCAGATGCCGAGGTGTCCTTGACACGCATTCCTTGCTGTGGGAGCCGTGTGCAGGGAAGGCAGCACCAGCCATGTGAGCAGTATCAGCCTGAAAAGCTCCTCGCCGCTCCGGGACCGCGGCTTCCTCGCTGCCCGTTAACACCGAGCTGCAGATGTTGGGGCTTTAGCTGCAAATGCGGTCCAGTGACACCATAATTAGCTTATCTCTGTTCAGCTTAGAAATTGGAGATGGCCTGAGGGAGGGGTTTATTTATTTATTTATTTATTTATTTCTGCCATGCCTTTGCACGCAGAGCACGGATCCTTTGGATTCATTTATGTGCTGCCTCCGTGCAAGAATTGGCCACGCTGTGCCAGGTAATATCTGTGGGAATTCATGCAGGGCCCAAATTCATACCTCTGCCTTTAAAATGACATCCAGTTGTTCAGCTGGTGAACAGAAATGCAAGTGTGTTTCCAGGAGGAGGCTCTGCCTGCACTGTTTGGAAAGTGCCAGCTTCCTCGTAAGTGCTTTGAACTGAGGTGGAGAAAATCTTTGCTCCCCGTTTTCTTTAGTGGAGGGGGAATCAACACTTGAATGTAACCTTTAGGTTATTGTTTTCCCCTCCACACCCAAATAAATGTACTTGGAAAATTAATTTAGGCTCCCTTCCAGCCACATAAACCTTCATTAGCCTTCATTTCCTTTTCTGAGTGCAGGCAGTGCCCTGTGAAGGTAGATGTGACCTTTTTGACCCTTTTTTTTTTTTTAGAATACATGACCTTTAGTGCCATGGGTGGGACGTGCATAATAGTACATTTGTGCTGTTTTCCTCCCAGTAACCTTACTGGGAAGGGAAATCATTATTCCACGTGGGAATCTTTGCTTATTCTGCTTGGGAATCTTAGCTGAGAACCTCAGAGGCGCTCACATGGGCAAGCCAGAGCTGAGCAAGGTCAGAGCAAAGTCACGCTCACCTTGTTAACTCGTGTTTGTTACATCTGCCTGCCCAGACACTCCCTGTTCTTTCCACCAGGCCGGGGTGTAAAAAAAGGCAGCACTTACTCAGAGGAAGCGCTGCTCTGGAGTGGGAAAGGCAAGGAGGTGGCGTGTTGGGAAGCAGATCCACTTGACAGTGTGTTTGCAGGTGTGGGAGTGCACATCACATCCTGCACGCGTTTGCCGTGTCGCCTTCCTGCGAGAGGAGCTGGAGCTGACTTGAAACCGGCTCTGTTTACTGGTGGATGTTGCAGTGTGCTTAGAATTGTATCCAGCAGCTTTCCCAGCGAAAATCAGCAAGCTGGAGACTCTGTCACAGTTGCTCTTTTCATAGGGAAGGGAGGAGCCTCTCTGGAATAAGAACTTGTGCTCTTTACTGCTGGTGGGTTTTCTGACGTGTCCACAGAGATTGAGGTGGCCTGTGAACACTGACAGGTTGACTTAATGTGTGCCAGAAACACTGAACGGATGAATTTAAATTATTTTACTTCTTGAGGTGATAAGACCATAAGGAACAACAGCCTTTTGAGCTTTAGGACGAAGGGAACCTTTTTGTGTTTGGGTTTTTTTCAGTGCAGACAACCTGAAAGATTTGGGAAAGTGAAGAATTCCTCAGTGGAGTTCAAAGCCCCATGTGGTCTGTGTAATATTTAGGTCCTTCTTAACCTCAAATTTGTGTCTAACTGTGACCAAAAAAAAGTATTTTATATCATCCCCTTAGCAAACCCAAATATTTGGTGTGTGCGTGAGGAGCACTCTGGGTTGCATTTCAAAAACAGGTGTGGCATTTTGCTTTTTAACACGAGGGCTTTCTTGGGTTTTAGCCAAATCACTGGAGGCAAGCCCCTGACCGTGGAGGTGGCGGGAGTGGAGTACATGAACGACGACCCTGCGATGACCGACGTCCTTTACGCCAAAGTCCACATGAAGGACGGCTCAGACAGGTGAGCTTCCCGTGCCCCTTTCCCTCATCCCCCCTGGGTGTGCTAGGGAAACCCTCTGGAGCTGGTGGGCATGGCCGGCAGCCCTCGGGCCAGCGGTCAGGGAGATGAAGTCATCTCCACTTCCTAAACCGGTTAAGGCAGTGATGTGTTTGCTCTTTGAATCAGTCACTGGTGGCGCAGCTGAAAGGTGTCATTTGTCCCTGCAGTGGCCTGTCAGGTTGAATAATGGAGTCACAGCTCACACGTGGATAAGATGGCCCAGGAGATACTCCTGAGATGATTTAGGAGGCAGGACGACTTGGCCTCTGCAGTCTAGTTCCCACCCTGCAATCCAGATTATTCTGGCCTCTTCTGCAGCACTTAATTACTGTTAAAACCCAGTTACGCCAGAAGGTCCTCAGAAGAGCACGGCTTGATTACAGAGTTGGTTTGTGTGTCTGTAGCAGCCTGGAACGGGTGCTGGGCTTGAAATATCTGAGCTGCTGCTCTGAAATCTTGAAGCCTGGTTGGTGTCAGTGTGAGTGTTTGTGCTGTTCACCACTGGGGCTCGTGGCTTGGGCTTTACAAAGCAGCACTGCCCAGGATGTGGCAGTGTCTGGACAACCTTCCTCCACCTCGTTTTTGGCAGGTACATCACATGTGGCAGCACCACCTTTTCTTTTGGTGCTTTCTGGAAGACTGAGGAGAAACACGGGTGGGGCTTGGAACAACCTGGTCTAGTGGAAGGGGTCCTTGATCCTGAATGTCCCTCCCAACCCAACCCATTCTAGGATTCTGTGATCAACAAAGAGGGGAAGGGGAATATCCAAAAGAGCTTTAGCCTCCTCTCTATGAACCTCAGCCTTCTCTTTTCCTTCTCGCTGCCCTTTTGTTGTCTGTTCCCATTGCCAGAGGACAGCAGGAGCTAGCAGAGGAGCATGGAGCAGTGCAGCTGGAGGAGGGAGTCAGTGAGCAGGGACTGGCTCAGGGAAGAAGGGATATATTCTGGCATCTCCTTTCCTCGAGGGCTGAGGAAAACAGAAGGGCCACCTGCTTAAAACCACACTGTGGAGGCCGTGTTGAAATAAGAGATCGGAAGTGGGATAAGGAAATGGGTGGGAAAATGAAAAATGTAAGAATTGCTGGGAGGCAGTAGGAATTGAAATAGTTTCCTTTCCTTGGCTCTTCCCCTTTGAAGTCTGTCCTACCCTCAAAGAGGTGAGATAAAACAAGCGGGGCGGGTGGAAAACCAGGGCGAGCTAGAGATCAGCCAGGAGGCAGAGCACAGGGAGACAGAAGGCAGAAGCACTCAGAAAGATGAGGAGAAGGCAAACACTGGGTGACCCAAATGCCCTTCATTGGGTTTGTTGTGGAGAGCATCTGAAATATCAGCTCTGAGAGCTGAGGTATAGGCCTGTTCTCCTGTGTCACTGAGCTCTGGGGTTCTCTGAGCCTGCTGGCCTCTGGAAACAAGTCTGCAGCCTGAGGAGCAGGGAGAGGATCCTGGGGAGCCTAAGTAGGACCTGAACTTCCAGTGGTGTCTGCCTGCCTCTGGGGACAGCTTGGATTGCTGGTGCTAGCACTGTGGTGTGTTGCAGGTGCCAGCTGGATCCCTTCTGCTGAGAACCCACTTAGCCATAATGCTGGAGAAAGTGCTTGTGTGCATCAGGGGTGGCAGAGCTGCTTTGGGCAGGAGAGAGGAGTGAGGCCTTCAAATCCACCTTGCCTTCAAACTGAAAACAACTCCCCCCACCACCACTTTGGGAAAGGGCTGATGTCTCCTCTGTTCTTCAGAGAGATCTGTTAGTTGAGGTTTTGACCAAACTCAGACCTTGTGCTTTTTGTGGCACTTGGAGGCTGCCAAGCTTCTCTTCCATGGTATTTACTTTGCTTTTTGTGTAGCAGTAGGCTCAGAGAGGACCAAGGAGTTGAAGCTTTAATCCTTGGCCCAGGCTGGTTCTGCCCTCACCTGCGAATTAATTCATCTGGCACTTCCCCCCTAGTATAGTTCCTTAACTGGTAGCAAGCATCCAGAAAACCATTTAGCTTTGCAGAGGTGAAAGCAGGTATTTTTATGTAGATGGAGAGCACCTTTTGCTTCCACTGAGATTCCAGCAGACACCGTGTTGGACCAAGAGTAAAGAGGGAATAGATGATGATCTCTTCAGAAAACTTTGCTCTGTTTTCTGGCCTGCAAGACAAATCATTGCTGAGCAGCTCCTTGCACTTCTTGCCTGCTGAAACCTGCTGTGCCTTGCTCAGGGAAATGGGCAGAAGGCAGGTAGAAAGCAGTTTCTGAGCTGCAAGGCCAATACTAGAGGAGAGCAGCAGCCACGTGGCTCTCTGTGCTGGATCAGACTGCTGCAGCCTGTGTTGGAGAGAGGTGTGTGCCTTCCTGTCTCATGCAAGATGTCCTGTTAGCTCTGTGTAGTTCCTGGCATGGCTGAGGGGTGGAGTTCCTTCCTGATCTTTGGATGATCTTGATCAGCTTAAGCTGTAAAGCAGGAGATTTGATTTATCCTGACTTAGCTTGCGTAACTGCAGACAGAATTAGGGGTTGGCAAGCCCTTCTGCACATATAATGGCTCAGACTGAAAGAGGGATCATGCTCTGATGCCTCCCACATGGCAAATAATTTCCATTATAATTCATTCTAATTTGTTTTATTTCCTTGATTAACTTTATAACGTAATAAAGCACCATTTTCACTTGAGCTATTCTCTGTTAATTTGTTTTAGTATTGTCTGTAATGATATTCATTTAATCTTTGTCGTTGCTAATTTTAAAAATCACTGAAGTAAAGCCAGGAAATGGTAGAAAGCCATGACAATTGGTGGTTGGAGAGTCTTGGGATAGTCACATGGGGGCCGGCAGCCCGTGAGGGGCAGTCCAAAACCGGTGGCGGGGTAGGAGCTGGCACTCGGAGCGCGGCAGCCCCGGGCTCTGGGGACCAGGCTCGGAGCAGCCACGCTCTGCTGCAGCTCAGACACCAAAGTGGTGGGACCTCACGGAGCAGAAAGCTGTCTAATCCCTGGGACGTGCTGAGAGAAACCCAGATCCTTCTGCCTGGGCTTAATACCCTCCGGCCTTGTTTTCGGGGATGGGAAGCTCTTGTTCTAGCACATCCTCGCTGCTTTTGGTAAGCTTCATTCAGGCACTGGGGAAATCTTTTGGGGGTGGCAGCAGCCTGGAAGTTCCTTCAGCTCTTTGGGCATAGGACATGTGAATGTGTTGCTGTGCTCCTGCTCCTGCTGCCTATCCCAGGACGGGTCAGCTCACAGATCCTGGCAGCTGCGGCCGCTTTTGTGCCCAAGCAAGGCAGACACAAAGGTGGGAATAAGTCCTTTGGTTCCGCTTGCTCAGTAGCTCCAAAGCTGGAGCGTTCTCCAGGATGTGCTGTCTGGGTTTGTGCCCTCTGTCACCACGTTCTGGGCTCTCCCAGAAATAAAGCCCAGTGAGTGGTTTGCTTATTTGGGACACAGAGGGTGCAGGCTCCAGCAGTCCCTGAGCAGATCCTCTGAGACACAAGGTGCCTAAGCCACTGCGGCTCTGCAGATTGTAGCATTTGCAGGGAGAGTCACATTGTGTTTCCTGGCAGGAGAGGGATGCATCCTTCAGCTCCCAGTAACATCTGCCACTGTGAACAAGCTCTCTGCTGTGCTAAATCTGCCCTTCTTCCTGGAATATTTGCAGCAGAAGCGATCACGGAGGAAGCTTTGCGAAACAGCCAGAACTTTTCGCATTAGAACTGAATCTTGATGTCTCTGCTCGCTTTCCATCAGGGACCAGCTCCCTTTCCTGTGTGCGTGCAGAGACTTCATTTCACACTCGCTGCCCTCCCAGCTGAAAAGCCAAAAGCTGATGATGCAGGGGCTTCTCTCTCCTTGGTTTACATGGCTCTGTTCTTTCTCTTCTTGCCTTCCCAGATTGCAGGTGATCGCTGATCGGCTGGTGGAGCGGTTTGTGGCCTCTGGCCTGATGCTCAAAGAATGGGACAGGGTGAAGCTGCATGCTACAGTCATGAACACTCTCTTCAGGAAAGATCCAAGTACGTACAGACCCTTCATCCTTACTGATAAATGCATTTAAAGGAGCCCTGCTGCTCAGCAAATGCTTTTGTTGTTTGCTTTTTCAATGGTGTGATTTTTCTTAATCTCAGGAATACCTGCAGGGCTGTGAGGGGATGTCAGGAGATAAAACCAAGGAGAAAATTAAAAAAGCAGTCATCAGAGTCACAGATTCAAAAACCCTGTCGCCCAGGAGCACTGACAGGATCTGGGCTAGGGAGGGAGATTCAAGTACCACCTGAAGTCTTGGGCTTTCTGTGCCCCAGTGTTAAATTGAAATTAGGTAACAACTCCATGTGCCATGCTGACCTTTAAACAAGATGAAAACATAAATCCTCTTTGGTCAAGTTAAAGATTGCCCATTGGTTTAGGGGCGTGATTCCAGTGTGTTTTTCCTTAAATCAGATGCAGATGGCTGAGAGGCTGAATATGAGCTATTCTTGAGTGTATGGTGTCTGCTGGCTCTGCCAAGAGATTGTCTGCTCTGGCAGTCTGTTCTTATCACATTGCTTTATAAAGCAGCCTCAAAAGCATCATGTTTGGGAGGTTTGGGGAGGGGCAGCGTGTTACAGTCTGGTTCTCCACGTGCAAACGTGCGTGTGCTCTGCCTCGGTGACCCCCGTGCAGCACAATGGGTTGTGTTGGGAATTCTCTAGTTGCTGCCTGTCTGAGTCTCTGTGCGAAGAGTGGTAAGAGCAGGTGATCTGTGTCGTGGTTTTCTGGGCAGGTTTTGGGTCTACCTGGTCCTGGAGTCAGATAAGCACACTTATCTGACTCAAACCGGTCTCAAATCGAGACCCAAAAACTCGAGCTCAAAGTGCTGGTGTGGCTGTCTGTGAGGGGAGGCACGTGGGCAGCTATACCTGACATTCTGGCTCTGTATTCTGCACAACCCCAGGAGGCATATGAGGCATTCAGACACAATGGGGAGAGCATTCTGCAGGCAGCCATGGAAGTCGCTTTATATTCCATACAGGATTTGAATATCAGGCTGGCTGTGAGGGGGACTTCATAGTTAATGCTGGAGATGAAAAAGGAATGTTGAATATATTCACCGAGTGAGACAGAGGTCCTGTGGAAAGAACAGATCATGTACTGAGGGATTATAGAAAAATCCAGACGTGCTCTGGGGAAATGGATCTCAGACACGGGCAGTCGCTGTAGGCCCCAGGTTGCTGTCCTGAGTGTCTGTGTGGCTGTGTGCCCACCCCAGCAGAAGCACCCACACCACGTGGGTGTGCTCCCTCGAGCAGGTGGCAGAGGTTTGTGTCGGTGCTGCCCGGATCCGGATCGCCCCTGGCGTTGTGCTGGCACGCTGAGCCTGGAATTTGGTGCTGTTCCATGCCATGCTGACATTCACCCTGGCACGGCTGGGATGTGGGAATTAAAATCAGCCGGAGAGAAAACCTGTGTGTTGCACTGAGCCATTGCCTCGTAGCTCTGATTTAGGGTCTTTCCTCCAGGTAACGTAGGTGGTCCTGATAGAGGCACCCCTTTCCTGCCTTATTCCCTTAGAAATCCAAGGGAAAGCAGTTTTTTTGCACTAAGAACTAGATCTATTAGCTGGCAGCTGACTTTGGGGAGGGAGAGAGTGGGGGGTGAAGTACAGCACACAGAGTTCTCCCATCTGAAGCTCATTCTGGTGGTGGCTTTTCTGTCTACAGCTGAAGAGCGAAACAACACAATGACTGGTAAATCATCTTTCAAGGAGCGGGAGTCATTTAATGGCCGAAATATCCTCAAGGTCAGTATGAAACAATTAGGGAAATGGGCCCAGCTGTGGATACTTGTATAGCCAAAAGGGGTTGAAACACCTCTTCAGGACTGCTTTTGTCTTAGGCTTATGGGATCTCCTGTGAGGGGGGGGGGGAAATCTGTTTAGAAAATAAACAATCCAGATCTGTGGTAATTGGGAGCATTACAGTGTTTAACAGAAGCATTCCTAAAGCTGCTGAGGCTCAGAGCAGGAATATGTAGCACGAATGCTAAGTGGGTGTTGATGTTGTCGTTTACTTCTCTCCTGTTTTACCCTGGAGACTCCTGGGCTCCTGTTGATTCCCAGCCCAGCAGAAAGAAGCACTGTGTTGCTCTTGTTCTACTCATATATATTTATGAAACTAAACCCGACTCTCATTTTGCTTATTCTTTTCTTCTTCTTTTTAATCTCTGCTATTGATTTGCACGGGTTTGCTCCAGAAAAATAGCAGGTTGCAGCAGGGAGTCCCACCATCCAGGATCTGAGGGCTTTGGCAGTGATCAGAGCATGGAAAACACAATCCTTCAGATTCTGGAGGTGGGTAAGGCTCAAACGGGAGCATCCTGCAGCCTCCCAGGCTTTGCCAGCCAGGATTGGGATGCAAGGCAGCCTCTGCTGCTCATCCAGATGGCTGTGGCAGAGTTGGTGCTGTGGTCGCTTGACCCCTGCAAGTGTCCAGAGAGAAAAGAGATGCACAGAGGAGCAGAAATAGGAAACAGCACTGGGTTGTAAGCAAATTTGCAATCCTCATTGTGTGAGAGGATTTTGTTGCAGGCAGCTCTGATAAGAGGGAGCGAGGACAATGCATGGATACATTTGGGAACGCTTAGGAGATATTCTGGCAACAAAGAGACATGAGAGAGGATTCAGCCTGGGTGGGAGCTGTACAGCCCAGCAGGACTTTGGAGCTCTCCCAGAAGAGGGAAAGGGTGTTCTTTATTTGTATTTACAGTTTTAATAATGTATTAGGCAGTGGATGCAGGGGGGTGTGAAGGCAGGGAGTGGAACTGATTGATCTCCTCTGTGCAGAGGACAAACAAAGGGACAAAATTAGGTTAAGCTCTCATTGTCCTCAAACGGTCTGTGCAAGCACAGTGTCATGACTCAGCGTCGCCACATGTTGAGTGTGCGGTGTGAGACTGCAGTATTGCCAGCTGGAGCAGGGAAGCCACAGACACGGTCCCCTCCCCGACGTGGTCTGCGAGGTTTGGTGAGCTGCCGGTGCGGGGGTAGCCGGCCCAGGGAAAGAGAGGTGTGTCAGGAGCCCTGAGTGCCCGCAAGGACTCGGCCTTCAGTGTTTTGCTTCTGTTAAACTTGTCCTCGGGCTTTACAGACGCGTCAAATCAAACCGTGGGTGTCCCTCGGTGCTCCTCACGCCGAAGCGTTTGCGATCGGGAAGGCATTAACGATGCTCCCTCTGCTGGTCACGCTGTTTGTGGGGTCTGAGGATCGGAGTGGGGGGGAAGGTGGTCCCGTGGTGTTCAGAAATGCAACTGCCCTCCCTCCGAGGCTGCTCCTTATTCCTGATGCTCTCGGCAAGACGAGCCAATGCATTTTTAAAGCTTCTAATTGATTCCGTACTGACGCAGCCGAAGGAGCTGCTGGCTGTTTGGACTGTTGGTAATTACTTCAAAGCCTGTCTTGCCGCAAGAAATGTCATCCTTCTCTCCCACCTCCACCACATTTCCTAACCTGCTCGCTTCGTAGTTCCCTTTGGTCTCCCACGTGCCTGCAGCAGAGCGCCCGTTGGCATTAATTAATTACATGAGTCATAAATAGCTCCAGGCTTCTTACCGGAGGAGCCCAAGCCTCAGTGAGCCACTGATGCATTCCAGCGTGACCTTGCAAGGATGCGCCGGTTCCCTCCCAGCCCGCTCCTCTATCCATTATTTATCTCGTGCTCGGGTAGGCTGCCCTCTCACAAAGTGGCTTCATTAACTTCTGCACTGGGATCTAAACGCCGACGGGCTGTTAATGAATATGGCTGCAGTTAGGCAGGATGGTGGGAGGGAGAGCCACACGTGATTCCAGGCGGTGGGACTCTGCCACAGCCGTGCCGAGTGGCCGTGTTCCCACTTGGAACGCTAACAAAGCGTGGCCACTGGCGGGAGGGCACGAAGTGGGAGAACTCTGGTTCCGTCCCTCTCGTTCCCGTTGCGCAGCCAAAGGCTCTGCCGAGCAGAGGGCAGGACCTGAGCTGTGGGAGCTCAGGATCTCTGCTGTGGCTCTGCTGCTGCAGGCTGAGGAGGCTCCCCGTGGTCAGAGCTGGGGGGTGTGTTGTGTGTGTGTGTGTGTGTGTGCAGATGCGCTGGCAGCACATGTTTGCTGATACCATGCCTGCGTTACCCCAGGCTCCAGCTGGTATTTTGCTTTCAGCTGAACTAATCGGAATTTTATTTAATAATCCTTTGTTCTACCCGTTCCGCAGAGTTAAACACACACTCCTATTTGTGCTAATAAATGGCTGTGCAGGCCGGTACCTTCCCACACTGCTCAGAAAATAGATTCTGTAGGATGAGTTGCGTTTGGGAGTTTAAATTACTTCTGTCTTGAAGAATATCCGTGAAAAAGACTTCCTGGCATAGGTGGAGCCGAGAGCCCAAGGGATTGTGTGACCCAATGGATTTGTGTCTCACAAAGCTCTGGCATTGTGCTCACCTAGTCTAGTCCCAAAGAGCTGGAGATGCTTCGTGGACCACTTCCCGTGGAGCGATCTGCATTCCTTCTAGGCTGGCTAGTGTGGCTTTGAACATCCCAGTCACGTACCGGAGCCGTGCTCCGGTCGGGAGCAAAGCGGAGAGCGGAGGGAGGAGGCAGCGATTCACGTCTGAGAGACACCGGCAGCTCCTTCCCCAGGGTGAGGGCAGGGCCGGGCCCGGGAGAGGCGCTGGTTTGGCAGCCCCCTCGCCCTGCCTGCTCCCGTGTCCCCGGCGGTGGCCGCGTGCCCTGCGTGGCAGCTGGCACAGCGCTGGCACGGAGGCGGCCGGGGCAGCTGCCGGCATCTCCGGAGACGGGGCTGCGCTGCCTCCGGGCTTTTATTTATTTCACTCGGTGGAAAAAAAAAAAACCTGGGGCTGCAGTGAATAAATAAAAACGAACAGGAACGCGAAGGGACCGCCCGGCCAAAAATTTCTGTGGTGCGTTTGAGGGAAAGGGAGTCTTGCAGGAGGAAGAAAACCACCTGGGCTCTCACTGGTTTAAAAGGGAACGATTGTTGACTCGAGCTGAGGTCTGAGGAGTGAAAGAATGGCCTTTGCCACATTCAGACGAGAAGGAAGCAAATTTTGAGTACAGAAAAAGCCGAACCCTGCCGCTTAGCACAGATCTGTGCATTAACAGCTTACAAGATTAAATATTGAGGGAACAGCTACTGAGGTACAGCAGCAGAAAGCTGCACATCTGATGTCTTAGGGCATTAGGGGAGACTTTAAGCTGGGATGGAAGACTGGGAACTGGATCAGCTGAGGCAGTGACACATGCTGCCATGCCCTGCTCCAGCAGTGAGGCTCTGGGAGTGCTCTGGGAGGGCTTCTAGGTCAGACAAGGCATAATTTGATGAGGCTCCTTCTCTTTTGAGGCCTGCATTAAGGTATTAAATTATGGGACTGTATCTGCTTTCACTTGGAGCAGGGGGAAAGTGCATTTACTGACTGATATACTGGAGAGCTGACGTAGCAGAGGAATTTGGTGGTGTTCTCTGTTACCGTGTCTGTCCTGCTGGGTAAGGACAGAGGCATCTGCAGCAGCTCAGTTTAAGACATTTGATGCAGTGGCATATGGAGAGATACCATGAGAAAGAAAAATCTCGGCCCTCAAAATACCCCAAGACCATCGAGCACTACGCAAATAAACACCTGCCCCTGTTTAGAGCCACCTCCACTTGCAGTTGAGGAGAGTGTCTCACATTCTGCAGCCACTGAAACCCAGGCCTTTTGTGTAACTTTTGTTTGTGGGTTCAAGGAGGCTGAGTCTTTTCCTGATGTATTTTATAGCTGAGGTGAAATCAAAGGCCCAAAGAACCGACCTTAAATGAGGATCAAGACTGCCTGTTGTTTGGAAAGGATGAGAACACCTTGTTATCCTCAGTGAGGTGGTAAAGGTGTAGATTGCAGTAGGACTGGCAACCAGAACAAACACCAAACGGGAGGTGACTGTTTGGAAAGTTTAGAGTTAAAAATGCTAAACAAAAAAATCCACCCGGGATGAGAAGAGCCTGAATAAGAGACTGTGGTGCAACATCAGTGTCTCAGAAATAAGCCGGTGCTTTTCCTCGCCTTGGTTTTACAGAAGAATCAAAAGCAGAAATGAAAGGCTGCGGTGCCGCTTTGCAGAGGGGAGAATTCCTGCCTTCAGTTCTGATCCTGCCATTATGGAGAGATACCGGAACGATCGAGGGGGCTCAGCAGTGTGCAATTAGAGCAACAGTGGGATGGCAGGATGTGACAGTTGAGCAGATGAGATTGGAGATCATTTGTATGATCACGGGGAGAAAGGAGGAGATTAAATTGGGGTTGCCGTGAAAACGCTTTCCTACGAATTATATTCTTCAGGGGGAAAAAAGGCATATTCGTGCTATTTGCATTCAACGAAACAGGAATTTAAAGTGGCGTTTGAAAAATCAGACTAGACAATAGAGGAAAAATGTCTTTGTTGGAATGTTTGGGCCTTGGAGGCAGCACTGGAGGTGTTGGAGGGGAAGCTGAGCCGCTGCACTGAGGAGGACGCGGTGCAGGAGGTGCAGAAGGTTTGTTCTGCCTCTCTGTGACAGGGATCTGTTTGGTGACCTTACCAAGAAGGGGAGAAGCCTCTTTGTTTTCTTTTCAGAGGTGCTCAGCTCTGACTAATTTTAGCAGGGACTGTGAGTGCTGGAAGAGGGAGGATTTGTTGAGGGGGTTATAAAGTTTCTGAATTCTCTTGCCCCTGTACCGCTGCAGTCCCATCCGGCCCAAGGGCTGAGCCCTTTCAGCGGTGCTGTGGGTGCCCCTGCCTCCCACTCAGTGGGCGTCCTGCCTCCTCATTTCCCTGAGATCCCCGCTCTGCCACCATCCAGCCAAGGCAGCATCACCGCTTTGATCTTAGGAGGACAGTTTTTCTCCGTGGAGCTGGCAGGGCTTGAATTACAGCAGCGCCTTAATAGAAGGCAGGGACCCAACGCATTAAATGTGCAAAAAAACCCAGCCCACTGATTAGCAAAAGTAGGCAGTTCATCCCAAAGGTGCCATGACCCTTCTGCTGGATAATTTTTCAGGTCTGTCCGAGTTAATTTACTGGCTGTGTAGCCAGACTCCTCCTCCTGGTGGTTCAGTGAGTGGAGCGAGGAGGTCACATTGATGGGAGCTCCTTGTCCCAGTATTCCCGGATGCGTCTCGAGCCTCCTGGCATCTCTGCAGCAAAGCCAGAACCCAGCAGCTCTTAAAAACTGTTGCTGCATTTGCTATAATAGGAGCCACGGGAACGAGGCTTCTTTGGAGAAATGCAGTGCTTGATTATTAATTTCCTTGAGTCGTGCTGTAAATCCCTCATGTTTGAAGCGTAGCAGGGTCTGGGAAGTTATCGGAGCCTTTAACGTGCTGGAAGGGTTTTTTTATTCTTGTCTGAAAGATGTGCAAAAATCTGGTAACCTCCAAATGTCCCACTTGTATTTGTTTCTTAGTTTGCAGAATGCCTTTCACCATAGCAACTAGGGTCTGATTTCCTCAAGCACATGAATTTTCATGGATTTGTAGCAGGGGGGGGGGGGGGGGGGGGGGGGGGGGGGGGGGGGGGGGGGGGGGGGGGGGGGGAACGGACCCAAAACCCTGAGCTAAAGCAAAGGTTTTACAGCGTGGTAGTGGCAGGAGCACTACTGGATTTGGCTTGTGAAGGAGGCAGGAGACCCTGGAGGGAGAGGATCTCAGCTGAACAAAGGCCTGCACCTGGCCCCAAACAGTTCTATCTGCAAAAAAAATCCAGCCTGACAGATTAATTTAGACTATTGCTGAATGTCACCCTCCCCACTGCTGCATCACCCTCTGGCAGCTGAGGTGGCTTTGCTCCAGTTTTATGAGGAGCTGAGGTTTCTCATGGCAGCAGTCAGGGAAGGATCGGCTGCTTCCATGGTCACAGAGCCAAAATCCTCGTACCCTTTCCTACCCGTGGGGGTCAAAAGGGTGTTGTGGGCAGCATGAAACGCACTCCTCTTTGGTCTGCAGGTGAAACCCAGCTGGGGAGAGGAATGGAGCTCCCAATGATCGGGAGAAATCAGGTGGAAACAAACGGGGTGCTGTGAACAAAGGGCGGGTGCAGGAGGGAGTGGTGGCATCAGCGTAGGGTGGAGAAGTGCCTCAATACCAACCCCATGGGCCAGGGTTAGGGTTAGGAGTTGGTCTCTGGAAATAAAGAGCCCAAGAGGTCTGCAAAGTAAACCCCTGACTGTGCTTGGCTGAGGGGTTTACCCAGTTCTGGGCACCATGGGTGGGTGCAAAGAGCCCAGGGAGCAACAGTAAGATAATTGGAGGGGTAGAAAATGTCTACAAGCTGGGGCTGGAAAGACTTACGAGTTGTTTTGAAGTTAATAAAGGGAGGGAGGGCAGCATGTGAAGCTTCCAGTGGTGTATCCAGTAGTATCCAGTAGTGGATACTTTGTCCTCCATGCTCTGATGGTAGAGTGATAAATAATGGGCTTAAGTTGCAGCAAGACATCAGGAAAATCCTTGGAAAGGGAAGGATAATAAAGCACTGCTCTAGAGGAGCTGGGAAATGGGGATCCCAGTTATTTTGAGGGATGTTAGTCCAGGTTCTGCCGTCAATGAGCTCCTCCTCCCTTGGGAAAGGAGAGGACAGTGGAGCTGATGACCTTCGCGGGTCCTTTCTTCAGCTTATCACTTTATGATTCCTACGTGGAATGCATGCAGAACACCCAGGGATGGCATCTGTGAACATACCAAGAGCTTCTTGGCATTTACATGGCATTTACTTTGGCTCAGGAAAATAAAAATATGAAAAAGAAGCCTCCCATCACACGCCTTGGATCTTTCTTCCTGAACTCCGTGCGTGCTGCATCTTCTTACGGTGGTGGTACTTTTCCAGAGAGAGATGGTTATATTGTTATTGCTTCCCAAGGGATTTTCCAGTGTCATAGGGGAGATACTCCTGACTTGGGAGATGGGACTTTCATGGCCAAGATTTTGTCGCTCCTGAAGTCTGCACGCTTTATTCTTCCCCGAGGAGACGAGGTGAAAGGGCCTCTGCTGCCGCCTTTTAAACCTGCCAGAGGCCGAAAGAAAAGGAGAAGGGAGGGGCTGTTCCTCGCATTATCCGTGTGGAAGGACTGGATGCTATACTGGGGATGGAGAGACACTCCAGAGCCAGCTGCACACTTGCAGAACAGAACAATCTGCATCTCTGTGGCTGGTGCTCCTGGAGATGGCCCCGGTGACAGCCGGCCTTCCCCGTCCTTCCTCACCCTCCCTTCCCTCCCTGGGACTCCGCACGACGTCTTCAGCCTGTGACACCTGAGCAGGACTGGAAAATGTTGGGTGCCCAGCCAGCGGTCCTTGAAAAAAAGCCATGGAAAGGAAGCAGTTGCTAATTTGGAGAGCAGGTTGGGAATGCCGGGAAGAGCCGCCTCGCTGGATGAGCACCTGCCTACCTGCTTTTCCTACGCTCCTTTTGCATTGTTCCTGGGGAGCTTCCAAGCACAATTAAACCTCTGGCAGATAATCATTGGCGGAGTGGCGTCCAGGGTGAATAATACAGGAATCGGGTATTTCTTTTTTTGGCACCAAATTTCAGAAAACACGTTTTGAAAGTCAAAAATAGAAGGAAAAAGAATGTTCATTGAACAAACTCCCCAGATCCTGACACAGTGCCTGGTTGTTTCTCATCTTCTGGGGGCCACCAGGGGCTTTAGTTTGGGGTTTGTCTGTCGTAGTTTTGGGGGAGTTTAGGTCAGAAATGGAAAAGGGTTTGATGCATTCTTTGGAATGAGGAGGAAGGAGCTGTGCCAGCACGTGCTGCAGCCTGGGAACTGAGGCAGCTGTGGAGGGAACAGCCTTCTGTGGAAGCCCTGGCAGGTCTGTGGGAGAGTGAGGCACTTGAAACAGGTGGATGGGATCCCAAAAGCAGAGGACTGGAGGCTGTGGTTTGTGCAGCAAAGGAGGTTGATCAGATGAGCTCCAATGGATACGATTTGCTGGTGTTCAGTGCACTCTCTTTGAGTCCATCGGTGTTTCTGAGCATTACTTGCACATTTCAAGATTTTTTTTTTTGGATTTTCAATCCATCCCTGGTTTTTGCCATTTCCTCTATCAGTCCCTTTTGCCTGGTGCTGGTATCAGCTCTGTAACCCAGCAGTTTGCCAAGGAGTCAGCGCCTTCCTGCTGTATCTGGCATGGGAAACCGCAGTTGTGCTTCCGCCAGATGATTTGGAAGGGCGACTGTTCTCTGCTCTTCTCCAGTGTTTTCCATCCCAAGCTGTGGACGTGTTACACAGGCATTAATTCAAATGCATCATCCCGTATGAGATGGAAAAACATCCAAGGGAGGGTGCAGAGAGTCTGCAAACAAACAGAATTCGTTGCTCTGTGTTGAGGCACCTCTTCAGAAACGCCGCTTAATTTTTCTCCGTGCTTGGCAGCGGATGCCTGGGATTTTGTCTGTCCCTTCCCCAAAGGGGATAACACCTTAGCGTGTTGATTTCCCACGGAAAGCAGCCACCCATTCCCCCCCAGCTTCCCAAGCCGTTCCTTCAGGGATGGGGACACGCCAGGGGAGCGGCTGCCGGCAGGTGAGCTGGGGGCTGTTGTCACTGCGTGCAGAGCAGATGAAACTCTGAAGGCAGCGGCTGCTCCGAAGCTCCACTTTAATCTCCTGGTTGGAGCTCTGTGTGTGCCGCCGGCAGCTGCTGGACCCCCGTTCCCAGCGCTGGGTTGGCTGTTGGAAGTGATGTCCTGCACGTGTTCTCCCGAGGAGGCAGAGCCCGGTGGTGCCCGGTACACATTCCTGTGCCTTCCTGAATGGGATCTTGGAGGGGATAAACGCCTTCAACCCGGGCAAAGCAGAGGAGCAGGGATTGCTGGTGACCCGTGCAGCAGCAGTGACAGGGAGCTCCTCCACAGCCATGGGCTCCTGGAGCTGTCAGCCTCTTCCTTCCTGCCTCTCAGAAGTTCTTCATTTCTGTGTTTGTTCCAGATATGGAAAAAAGGGACCCCCCCCGCTCAGCTCCCTGCCGAGAGCAGCCGGGTTTGTGAGGCGGATTGGTCACAGCCTAATGACATTACACGGCTCCGCTCGCCCACAGCGCCGACCCATCAGGGACACCTCTGTGCTGTTGATCTATCATAGCCCAGCCCTAAGGCACTGCTTTCCGTGGCTGGAGTTCACAGCAGAACTCCCTACAGTCCGGGGAGATGTGTGTGTGTGTGTACAGATCCATTTTATCCCTTGGTAATGCTGCTCTTTGGTGGGAATTTTTAATTGCCAGGCAATTAACAAGTCGTTGCTCCCTCGGCATTTCTGAGCACCGATGCTCTCAGAAGAGCTGCTTGGGCTTTTTATGAATTCAGGATGGGTCTTTTTTTTTTTTTTTTGGCTGACTACTGTAAACGACATAAGGCTTTAAAAACTGATCAATAATCCTGATGGCCGCAGCAAAATCCAGGCCAGGCAGCGTTGAGTGCGAGCCAGAGATTACGTGAAGGAAGTTTTAAATACCTCTGACTCCCTTCCCTGGACTTTTGTCCTCCTGCTGCCCAGTGCTTCTCCAGCTGAATGCATTAATATTTCTCATGCTTGTTGAGCCCATGACAGGTGATTTCAAAGCCCTGGTTTATGTTGGCATCTCCGCTCTTCAGAACAGGAGCTGAAATGTGTCGCCGCCGTCCTTACGTGGATTAGCGCTGTGATTTATTGCTGTTGGTTCCAGCTTGGAACACAAAGGTGCTGCCTCATTCCAGGAGGGTTGTCTGTGGGAAGCAAGCCCCCCCAGGAGGGCAACTTAACAAACACTCACACTTGGGAACATGACATCATTTAGGTGCCTGTTTTAAATGCTTCATTGAGGAGTCCTTCTCCTTTGCTTTTGTGTCTACATTGCTTCAGCAAAACCTACTTCACAGCTTTAAAAGGGGGGGAAAAATGAGGAAAAGAGTCATCCTGGTTTTGATTTGTTGCTCTGCCTTTGATGAGGAGTTGTTGTGGTTTGGGGGCTGAAGTTTGTACAAGCAGTTTTGGCTCCGGTCTGCAGGGAGCGAGCGGGTTTGATATGTGATTCCATCTCTCCCAAAACAAGTCTTCAACCTCTTGACTTCCTTCAGAAAATGATTGTCTCGCCCCAGGGGAGCCCTGCCTTGTAATTTGTGGGTAATCGAGGGGAACGGACCTCAGAGGGAGAAGAGTTTCCAGCATCTGAATGGAATTGTCTTAAATGGGAGAAATTGGGGTATTAGAAATTACAGGTGTGCTTTTCCTGGCTCAGAATAAATGACTGTGGGGAAGAAGCGGAGGAAAACTTGCTTTCTGGGAGCTGCTGCAGGGCTGCCTGCCTTTCATCATTACCTGCACAGTTGTGTCCTTGGATCTGGCCCCCTGGAAGGGAGAAGGGAGAGGGAGGAGCTATTGCCTGTGGTAGTTTGCAGGCTGACCTGTGAAATATGGCTTATCCATCGACCAGTTCTCTCCCTCTCTGGGGTTAAAAGTTAACAATGCTCTTTCCTTATTCTGTTCTAATTCAATTTGGGAAGGCAGCAGGGAGACAGAGGGCACTTAGTCCTCTAAGTGCTATTCCCTTGATGGGAGTTAGTAGCTCGCATAACATGCATGGTGTTGATTTTGTAAGCTGACCTTTACCTCCATCAGGTTGATTCTCATTTATAATACTTAAAAAAAAGGGAAAAAAAAAAATCCCAGCCCCTTACTTACTCTTTTGGCCTAGAGGACGTAAATCCTTCGGCATGTTTGGATTTGCAGAATTACTGTGCTTTTGCTGAGCTTTGTGTCCCACTCCAGTCAAATGACACGGCTTTTGGGGGCTGTGATGGTGTTTCTCCTCCCTGCCTCCCTCCTACCTGCTCCTGATCCATACCTCTCCATGCTCCCTGCAACCTTTTCAGGGAAAGGTGGGTCCTTGGCACCCGTGGGAAGGGACTTGGCCGGTCTTAGGGTTATCAGCCTTCGCTTCTGAAGTGCAGGAACCTCCGGGTACCTTCTTTCCTGGTGCAGAATTAAAACTGCTCTAAAATGCTTTTCCAGGAGGCATTTCATCAGCTGTGCCACAGGCCTGCTCTGAAACCGGAGCGTTTCTGTGGTGGCTGGGGAGAGGGGGGGAGTTAAAAATATCTTTCTCGGCTCTGCTTGGCTTCTCCCCAAGATAAATAGAAGTGAAAGTCAAAAGTGGAGGCTTGGCCTTCTAAAATCCCACCGGGAACCCGAGCACAGGATGCTTTTGTGACAGGAAGCCAATTCCTGGTGTTTCAGGGGCCTTGGGGGGATGATGTTGGAGGGGCCTCCCTCCCCTCTGCCCGAGGCAGGTCTCAGATGTGCAGTGATCTCCATGCCTGGTGGCTTTGTGGTGGGAAGCCTCAGGGAGCACGGGAGCATCCGTGGGAAGCCAGCCTGAAACGAGAGCAAAAAAAAAAAAATATAAAAAAAATATATCTGTGCTTGTCCTCTAAATCTTGTAGCATGTTTACTCTCAGAAAGTACAGCCACATTACCAAAAATCAATAGTTCCAGCAGCATTCTCCCTGGGAAACACGCAGATGCTCGGACACACGGGAGGTGGTGAGTCTTATAAAAGCCAAGGGAATTACAAAGTGCTTTGGTACAAGAGCTCTGCTGCACTTCTGGCAGTGCACAAATGGAGGGCCCTTGACCTGGGCAGTGTCTTCTGGGGCTTCCCGATCTTCCCTCTGCTCTCATGTGTCAGAGGCTGTGTGAGGCTAGAGGTGCTGCAGGCAACCAAGCAACCAGCAGCAGGACAAGAGGGCACGGGCTCAAGCTGTGCCAGGGGAGGTTTAGGTTGGATATTAGGCAGGAATTCTTTACAGAGAGAGTGATCAGACACTGGAATGGGCTGTCCAGGGAGGTGGTGGATTCACCTCACCGTCACTGGAGGTTTTTAAGGTGAGACTGGATGTGGCATCAGAGCCATGGTCTGGAAACCACAGTGGGAGTGGATCAAGGGTTGGACTTGATTTTCTCAGAAGTCTTTTCCAACCCAGTTAATTCTATGATTCTGTGAAGGGTTTGTCTCATTAACTGATTTTTTGCTTTGAAGTACATGTGTTTTGTAATAAAAACAGGTTATGGTGTGCAGAGATAACATAAGCAAGTATTTGAAAGACTATTCCTTTGGCTGTTTGGTGTAAAGGTTTGACTTTCAGTGCTGCTGGTGGGTCCAGCACATCCCAGCATTTCATTTGTTTCCTTCACAGAATCACAGAATGGTTTGGGTTGGAAGGAACCTCAAAGACCACCTCAGTCCACCTCCCTGCCATGGGCAGGGACACCTTCCACCACCCAGGTTGCTCCAAGCCCCATCCAACCTGGTCTTGGATACTTATAGGGATGGGGCAGCCACAGCTTCTCTGAGCAACCTGTGCCAGGGCCTCCCCACCCTTACAGGGAAGAGTTTGTTCCTTCTATATAATCTAAATCACCCTCTATCAATGTGAAGCTATTTCCCCTTGTTCCATCACACCTTGTCCCAAAGTTCCCCTTTTAGGCACTGAAAGTGGCCTCTTCCAACCTGCAGTGAGCCCTGGAGAGCAGAAAGTCATCCTTCCCTCTGAGGTCAGCCAAAACAAAAAGAGAAAGGTGACCAACCCCTTTTTACTGCCATCTCTTATTAATGAGACATTTTATCCTGAGTCCTCCAACATGAGCGACGCAGGCTTTTGGGAACATAATTAATCTTTAATTGTATAAATCTTTAATTGTACAAAATGGAGTTTGTGTGGCTGTAGTCATTTCTCTTCTCCCCTTTTCCTCCTCTCCCCATTTGAGATGCTTCCTTAGCACAGCTCCTTTTCAGCAGGGTGCTCTGCCCTAGGGCAATGACCCCCTGGGGCCACCACCACACAGTGTTCCTTGAAGCCAGACTGCTGCCATGGGGTCTCTTGCTCTGCCCCCAAGATGGGCAGGGAATCTTTTTCCCTAAGGCACTTTTTCTACATGGTGGAGTGGCAGCAAACCCAGGAATTGTCCTGAAAGAAATCTAGCTGGTCTCCTTGTGAAAAAAAAAAAAAAAAAAAAAAAAAAAAAGGGTATTTGAAAAATAGAATACCCTTGGGAGAACCAACAAAAGAGCAGTTGTGCCCAAATCAGTGCCAGGCAGAGCCAAATGCCTCTTTGGAGGAGGTGAAGTGCAGCCTTTCAGATGCTAAGTAGGTATTTGGGATTTCAGTCATTCCCTGTATGGAGGAATTGATGCACCATTGGCTCCAGGAGGATTAACGTGTTGGCTTTCCTTAGTGCCTCCTGCAATGGCAGGAAGGGCTGTGGGACTGTCTGAGCCCACACCTGCAGGGACAGATAGAAAATTCAATAGGAGCCAGATGGAACGGCCCCTCTGGAGATCTCCAAGGTGGGGAGATGCTCAGGCCCTGGATGACTCACAGCGCTCCGGTTAAGCAGTTTCAAAATCAGCATCTCCACCGAGAAGCTTTTTCCAGGTAGAGCAATTTCCAGCATCTTAATGGAACGGGAGGAGCACTTTGCACTTGGACACGATGCCTTTCCACTGATAACTTGGTGTAAGAAATTCTGATGTCATTTTTTTTGGGGTCTGCTTCATAGACTGGATTAATGGGCAGGGCCACGCCCCCCGGGTGCCGGAGTTGGCTTGCTTTCCTTAATTTGCACTCAAGTCCTCGCCGAACAAAGACGGATTTGTTGAACAAAGCGGGGTCAGTGCTGGGATGAGGAGCCTTGTGCCTCCAGCCTGCTCGTTTGAATTAGGACTGAGCTGTGACTGTTAAGTCGCACGTCCTGTGGCCTGGATTGGTGAAAACCTCCTGGCCTCAATCCTTGCTCCTGCAGAGCCTGCGACCTCGAGAGCCACCCGGGGGTGGTG